ACCCCGTCGTTCGCACCCTGATTGAAATTCGAGTCAATTACAATTTGTTTTATTCGCTTATCCTAAAAAGAACCAGAACAGCTGTAAAGAGAATTTGTGCTAGACCAGTTGTATCTTACTATACCTTTTGTCCGACTTTCAAAAAAGTGAAAAATGCACTTTTCTCGCAAGTTTTTGCTCTGTCTATTCTGAGTTTTTGTCCATTATCTTGCAAAGTATATCCTTAAGTACATGATTAGTGCATATTTTTGATCAATGACAGTTGTGATTTGACAAATCTCTAATTTTTTCGCCTCAATCATGCACTGGGTCAATTTTATTTTCAAGTGAGATATTTCAACTAGCCTTCAACATTTTGAACTGAATCATGAGATCAAGACGCCGTTGATATAGTGCCAATATTTCATCGGCTTCTTTCCTCTGTGTACAATCACCACCTATCGTCGTGTCGAGCATATTGTATGCGTCTCTGAGTGCAACTTGCTGCTCATCAGAATGTGTGCGTCGTGTATATGCAAGACTTTTGGTTTTAAAAAGAGGATCTCGGGTTTTCTTAATCCATTGACAAAGTGTGCTTATGTATTGCACTGCTTGATCATCATTGTGATTTGTGTAAATGAGATCAAAGCATTATGCTTAACTCTCGCAAAATGTGTCGTTGCCTGAGTAGAAAAAATAGAGTAATTAGCAGTGAGTGCATGTAGCTAATTAAAAGATTTTTTTCCTCCTGTAAATTTTAGTAGATCGCTTGGCCATTGGTATTGTGGATGTTCCAAAAATTCATTAGTATACCGATGCATGAAATCAAATAGTGGATCAGAAATGCGTAATTGAGTAAAACATAGACTAGATCTAAATCGAGACATATATTAGCTAATTCAGACGATAGATTAGTTACGAAGTCTCTAGAAATATGGTTGGGCAAGTCCCTTAAAAAATCTCATGGACAAGAAAAACACGATATTATCGCAGAAACAAGTAGAGGTAAAGCTCTGTCCCGGAGATGGAGTCCGTCATATTAGTTGAGTGACTGGTGATAGTACCACTGGAAACTTTAATTCATCGGAAAATTGATGAAGTCGATTATTGTATTCATTGACGATGAGTTGTGCTGGGGTTTGTTTGAATGCACCGAATAATTTGATACGGAGTAAAACATCACGAACAATGACACGTTGAATATTTGGGTATAGATGTTGAATATCGACGATGAGAGTAGCTAGACTATCTATAATTTATAATTTATATACTACCACTTGATAATGTCCACCCATCACACATAAAACAGAATATCCTGATCTCATCCTACATCAGAGCTATCAGAATATGCGCTGACGCTAAAGAGTGTCAAACTGAATTCACTCGAATTAGAACGCGCTTACTCATAAACAAATATCCCCCACAATTCATTGACAAACAACTATCTCGTTTACTGAGTGCTTTTGCATGCAGAAACAGAGCAAGAATTTTTGGCGCAATATTCAAAAATTCGACAGCAGCTCAGACATCCAAATTGCAGACAGAAAGATGCAATACTACGTCAGAGAAAGCCCATCAATTGGACTTCTGAGCTAATTTTTCGTATACATCCGCATTGCGTTACCGTGATCAGCACTTTAATCGCGCGTGGAAACGTACTTTTTCCGATACACCGCTGGATCATTTAAACATGATTATAGGTTATCGCATCACACCCAATCTTCGACATGCTCTAATTTGAAAAAACCTCCTAGGCATCTTTTACATGCACAACCTTCCCGTGTAACAAGCTAGACAAAAACAAAAAAGTCTTGTATCATTTGAAAAAATCAATAATCCACATATATAGATATATGTATGTGAAATATATATATAGTGCCTAAAAATACACTAAACCCGTCCAAAAATTATTTTTGGTTATCTCAAAATACCTAGAAAAAGACCATATATATTTTTTTATCCACGCGTTATCCCATTTTTTAATATAACTTTTAATAAAAAATTTTTATCATCTATAAATGTATAAAACATTCCTTAAGCTCACAAGTTGCTCTCGTTTAAAACTTTCACAAGCAATTCCATTTCTAAAAGCATTCGAACACCCAATCCCGAGTGTCCAAGCAAGGGAACGACATGATTTACTGGTTTCATTGGGTTTTTTAATTGTACCTTGACGCAAACATTTAAAGTCGTTTCATCTATTTCATTTTTCTTTTCTGTATAACTTCAACACAAGGTCAAAAAAAATCCATTTCTCCTATTTCTAACTTAGCTATACATATCGCTAGAATTTTATTTTATTAGGCGTGTAGCAATAAATGTAAATGTTAAAACTTTGGTCGAAAAAGAGACATTTTACATTTAAAATGTTTGTTTTATCAGCTGTGCCAGAACAGAAAAGGATGATACATAAAGGACGCACGTCGTCTTTTTGCTTTTTTGGTCTTTGGTCTTTTTTGACCAAACTTTTCGCATTTACATTTGTTGCTACAGGTCTATTTTAATACTATTTCACTCTCGATCGTATCATATATAAATGCATGTTCTTTCGTACATCGTTATCATTTCACACTTGAGAAAGCATTCGAAATCGGGCGTGGGATTTTTTGTTATACCTACTATATCTTAAGGATATAATAATACAAGAAAAAGTTGGCATATTTCTCTGGCAACACATCAAGATAACTTCCTGAAAAATTTTTTGCTTACAAAACAATTTTGAAAAAGGATAATAGTTTATTTTCCACAAGAAAACACTGCTTCAAGACATTCTCTTCTAATTTCTTGGAACATTTTTGGCTTACAAAAAGCTTTTAAAACGAAAAACGTTCGATATCTCAGCTCTACGTGGTCCTCGAACCTTCGGATGTGTTTTTCGTAATCAGCGGATCAAAGTGCGTATAGAGAAGTGTATTTCGAGGTTCCAGACCTACGAGAAGTGTTAGAACTTTGGTCAAACTTTAGAGGTCTTTGATTTTGACACCTTCGAACTGGAAACCTATCAGCAGCCTTATATCGAACGATAGAACCTTCATTTTTACGCCATTCGAGCCGCCTTGAAATATAGAACAAAGTTACAGATTTAGTTTTTAGCTTTTTTTCTTTTCTGAAATATTATTTCTTCGAAAATCACGTGTTTTCACCTAAAGTCTGCTCATAATTTCCAATTTTCTCCATCAGAACTTAACTTTTATGCAATAAAAATATCATATTCGAAATCAGAGTCAAAAACTGAGCAGACTGAACTAAAAATGCGTTGGACGTTCGTTGATACTGTAGAAAAACGTGTTTTCACTTTCAAGGACTGCTCTCAGTAGGCTTTGTTCTACAGTTCTGGAAACTGAACACTAGTTTTTCGTATAGTGCAGATGGCGGGCAACCCAACGCACTACTTGGTATTGAGATTCGAATTGGCCTTCATGGGAACAACTGATGAATGTATTAAAAATTTTATTTTTCTGTCCATACACAGATTTTGTGGAAAAGTATGCACGTGAGAATCAAATTTTGGAAACAACATGTTTGACTGACGCTAATTTTCTAATCATTTTAAGCTTTTTTCAGTTTTCACCTAAACTACCTTTAGGACACCAATAAGGCGAATTCAGCATCGAAACCTGCATCGAATGATGTGACTTTCAAGTTACTCTGAGAAAATAAATTTTTGTACAGGAAATGTGCGAAATTTGCAAATCAAAATGCAAAAAACCGAAATGTTTTTTCTGCGAAAAGTCACATCATTCCATGCAGTGTCGATGCTCATTTCGAATATCGTCTATGGGTGCCCTAAAGTTAATTTAAGGCTGTGGAAATTGAAAAAATCTTAGACAGATTTTGTGGAAAAAGAGACACGTTAGGATCCAATTTTGGGAACAACATGATCGACTAACGCTATTTTTCTAACCTTTTTATGAACTTTGAAAATCGTTCAGTTTCCTACAAGATGTATCGGTTTCAATTTGCACTAAGTTTACTTCTCTGGTCCAAAACTCGCTCTCACTTGAAACATTAAGGTTTGAAAAACCGGAATGTTTTTTGAAAAAGCTTTTTTTCACTGTAATAAACCAACTTGTCAGTTAAATTTAATACGGGATATGGTTCAGTTTCTGTTAGGCTTTCCAATGAAATATTACTCGAACGTAACAGACGAAAAATAGCTGCGTTATAGTGAGAATGTCAAGATTTTGCTATTGTGTCTCGTCCACTTTGAAAGCCTTAAAGTCCTAGCAGACTTTATCCTTTTCATCTCAACAGAAGATTTGTAAAACGCAACTGAACTAGAATGTACAGTCAAGAAAAACGCAGCATCTAAATTGACTTTGAAGTATCAAAGGGGGACGTCGTCCAGCGCGTGTCATTTTTCGCTCTAAACACAACGAAGAAAAAATGACCGAATGTTCTTCACGCACGCAGTGACCTTTCTAGTGTTTCCAACCATTTGTATTTCGTAGGAATCAAATACAGAAGCGTAATTTGCGTATTTTTTCTTCGTCTAGAGAATGGTTATCCTCGTATTTTGTTCTTCAACTGACAAAATGGCTGAACAAAAAAAAGAAGAAACGAAAAAACAGACTAGGCCTGTAGCAACAAATATAAATGTTAAAACTTTGGTCAAAAAAGAGACATTTTACATTTAAAATGTTTGTTTTATCAGCTGCGCCAGAACAGAATTCTGTTCTGACGCAGCTGATAAAACAAACATTTTAAATGTAAAATGTCTCTTTTTTGACCAAAGTTTTAGCATTTACACTTGTTGCTACAGACGTAGTCTGTTATATTTAAAAATGCGTTGTAGACTAGCCTGAAAGTGTAAACATATCTTGCTGAATAATTCGCTTTCCTCTTTTCTGTAAAGAAAAATGTGACAAATGTGAAGCGAATACTAATAGAGATATATCTCTATTCGAATGCTACAGGCCTATTTAAAGAAGTAACAGAAGAAAAAATACACAGTAGAAACCAGACAGAAATTGTAACGATCAGACAAGGAAGAGGTCGACATACAGTTCAATTTTCGAATAATGGCTGCTTTAAAAGTATTATTATTTATTTTCTCTATTGATTTTGGCTATAAAGTTTTTGCTAGTGTCGGTGGTGACTGGAACTATGAAGATCAAGGTTAGTTTAATATCTTTTTTCAAATACCTCTACATTCCGTTCTTTTATCTCATCTGTTTAAATAGGTCCTGAAACATGGTCTCACACATTTCCAAAGTGTGATGGCCTACGACAGTCACCAATTAATTTAGAACACTACAACGTTGTTCAGAAAACATTTCCACCATTCGTCTTTTCAGCGGACTTTAACAATGATCTTGTATTTAATTTAAAAAACAATGGTCATACAGTTGTCGGCGAATTAGATGCAGCACAAAATCAATCGAAGCCGGTTCTTCAACTCACTGGCGGTGGTCTATCTGGCGTCTATCAGTTTACAAATTTTCACCTCCATTGGTACGTCAAAATTCTTCTTTCTCTTCCATTGTCTAATTTGTAAGATGTTGATAATTCAAAAAGCAAGCGAAAACTTCTTTATCACACGCGGTCTATGAGAAATTTTTGAAAATCGTAAATGGATCTGAAAGTGTGGTACAGCCAAATGTTTAAAGAAAATCAGCAAACCTCCTCCACAACGCTCGGTAGTTTTGAAACAGACTCTTCGGAATCAGTCTTTAAAAGTGATTGCAGAAATTTATGTTTCGAGATTCTTCAGTAAAATTGTCGGTAGCAAATCGATTGAAACGTGCTGAAAGTACTAGCAATCCAGAATTTAAAGCATTTCGTAATTCCACTTCGCTCTCAATTTTTACAAAGTTTAGGCAGTAAGCGAAGAGGTTTACAAACAAGACTACAGTTTCCACCCGAGACCCTCAAAACTCTTCAGTTTAACTGGAAAAGATGAGAAATTTAATGGGAAAATCTAGAATTTCTACAGATATTCTGACCGATTTTTGAATTTAACTGCGTTTCCAAAAAGCTCTGTTAATCAACTTTGCTGAAAATAATCTAGATCGTCAGGCAATTGAATTCTGTGGTAAATGACGTGTCTCCTAGCTGTTCAGATCGTGTCTTTTGTAGTTTTTATCAGAAACTCGATGGTTCGAATATTTCTTCCTAAAACAGAAGCTGCGAAGCTTAAAAAAGCTGATATCCTGAATTTCAGGGCTATCCAAACCACGTGTGATAAAGTAGAAAAGATTTTTTAAAGAGTTTATTCGATTAACACCTCATGTTCATTACAGGGGTGGTTCACCGACTGAAGGTTCAGAGCACACAATCGACGGGCTACACGGTGCCGGTGAAGCACATTTTGTATTTAGAAATCTAATTACAAAAAAATTAGCTGTTCTTGCCTTTTTCATCATCGCCTCACCAAATGAACCGCAGAGTGCCTGGCGTTCTTACGTTGATAATGCCGTCACGTTAATCCGCGAGGGCAAACAAGTAGAATTTGTGGCAAATCTGATGAATTTAATGGAAGCTGAAAATAGTTTTCAAGATTTTTGGAGATATGATGGTTCGTTAACTACGCCCCCATGTACCGAAGGTGTTATTTGTAAGTGAAATTAGTCGCTGAAAAAAATAAAACTTTTAATATATTTGGCAATTTTTCTTTCAAGGGACGGTATTCAACAGTCATATAAAGTTTTCCAGTGATGAACTCCAATCATTATCGGCGAATGTTTTACACAAAGATTTTCGTCCACCTCAAGAAATCCATAATCGAATTATTTATCATTCGACAATGGACGGAGCTGCTAAAGTCCACTAATATGTGTTGTAGTCTCATCTGATTGAACCTTATATCTACAATTGTACTGTAATATTTTGTTTGGAGTGAAGCATTTTTTAACTTTTTTTTGAATTTTATAAATTTTTTCTTGACCACAAGAGTTTTTTAACTTTTAACCGTTGTTATCTGTCACTAACGGTCAAAAATGAGCTGTTTCTTCTCTGAAAACTGCAGAAGGGACACTACAGAGCGCGCCGATCTTGTTATTTCAAATATTTTAGACTATCTCTCTGCAAAGGTAAATCCAAAAGAGCCATTGCATGGTAGAAATAATTAATTCCAGTTAAAAGTAGCATTTCTGACTATACATATCTAATATGATGTTTCCAACGTTTAATATTCTAAATATGATTATCAACAATATGAATACTTATTCTAGCGAAACTATAAAAGAATACTTACATGTACTAGAGCATCATTTTCGCTACTATCATAGTAATAGATCAATGAGTGAATATACACGGACGTTTCAGGTATCTATATTTTTTAATTACGCTTAAAAGATTGGTAGGTGTACAAATGACAACTCAGATTTCCTTTTTTCCGCCTTTTAACGCTCAGACGGTGGTTTGTTCTCGCCTGTGCTTATTTTTCAGATCGTGCGTCAAAAAATAAAGGAAAAATATTTAATTGTACAGACATGTCTAAATGATCGTAGGTATTGTTTTTTCGTCACTTAAGGCACTCCGGTTATAAACTTATCTCGTTAACCAAAAATTGGTGAGAAGATTTCTCCGTCATGTTACTCTGTTTTTCGCTTTTTCCATTTTACAGCTTGATTACGGATCAGTTGACCGTGTTTCTTCAAACCATATTAAATTTTCTCGTATTGTCACTCATATCATGGATGCGTTTATACGCAGAAGAGTACGACAGTGGGTCAAAAAACTATTCGTCCACCTCGCCACTATCATTTTATTTTCTCTGCCATTACAAAACCAACCACGCTAGAGTGCTCAAGCATGCACCATTCCATGAAGCAGCCCCTCTCATTTACTTATAGGTACTCATTCTATTTAATTATGTAATGGGCGCCAAATGAAATCATTTTCCACCAAACTTGAGAAAGCAATATAAAATTAACTAAAATATTTAATTATTAAATTTAATTAATTAAAATTGTGTTAATGTAGTCACATATGGACTAGCCATCATTGCATGCACAGCAGGCTGACAGATTTTAAAAATTTTTTCTTAGATTTCGCTCGAAGTTTTTCATTTGGCGCCCATTTCACACTCATGATTCCCAAGCTTAAACTTTGCTGTAACTCTTATAACCCGATACAAATGAGTTGTGTTTCTAGCCATTTGACAGTTCTCAGAACAACCTGATGTGCTTTATCCGCCTACGTGATTCGTTTTAGTTTTCTATTCCAACTTGGCGTCCTAGTTCGTATTTTTCAAGGAAGATGGCGAATCCAAAAGAAATGGCGCATCCAACGGGTACTTTTGGTTACTGACTAGATTGAATGTGTTGAAATTTCCTTCCCGTTGTATATTTAACTTCTATGTAGACAATTTATTTCTTGACGAAATTCAAATTAGTTTTTGAAGTATTTCACCGCAGTATTGTATCGAAACAGGTTAAAGAGCTTTCTGCTGTATAAAAAGCTTTTTTCAAGGACCAAAGATAGTGTTTTTTCATGGATATACCTTCGTTTTGGGGATAGTCGAAGTCTTCCGCTGATATCTTTTCTGTTCAGAAAAAGAATCTTTTTGTAGGTGAACGAATAATTTTTCGACCCAGTGTAATACTATCAACAGCGTACGTAATGTACTAACTCTATCTCCATCGAGAATCTTTTAATCAGGAAAATAATTATGTTTCTCCTATACTTTAGGTGTAAACTGAAAGGTTTTTCCGTTAAAATGCAGTAGGATGAGGGCATATTCTTAGTTGAATTCATTCATCAGACATATGCGAAAAATAACTTTATGATTGTATTGTTAGTCTATTTTTGTACTTGTATTTCCAGTGTACCAATTAGTTGGCACTTGTGCTCTTAAAAGTCAAATAAATCGACGATCTTTTTATGAACTCCCTCTTATACGTGAGGAAACCACATGCATATACATTTTAACAAGTAAAAGATAGTTCAGATATCGAATTATATTTTCTAATAATTGAGTATGAAAAACTCCAACTTGTACTTTCCTTATAAATATCCGTTTCGATGACTAGTGTGTCCCGTTCCTCGTTTGTTTCCGTTTTTGCTTTATTTCTTCAAGGGCATAGTGGCCATTTTTCTAATAACAGGTTGACATCAGAACTTTTTGCTCTTGTTGAAAAAATATTGGGGAAAATTGTTAAGGTTTATTTCAAAACAATACTGAACGAAGAAAATATTAATAGAATTTTGAGCGCTAACTAAAATGAGCAAAATGCTGCTTCGTCTCGAAAAACTAGTAATCAACTATAAATGTAAGTTAATGATCATCAAAGTAACCTCTAATGTTCGCTAACAGTAAAACGATTAAAAGATCCTATTTTAAGGCCAATGTATCGGGTTCATCGCCAACTGACTACTTCTTTTTCCCTGTTTTACACAGCTTTGTTGAATATGGAAAAATTCCACTTACTGGATGAGGCTAAAAACAACAATGAGAACACGAGTCTGTGACAGAGGTGCAACCGGTACCGGTATGAACTAGGCATGCAACAGTACCAGTTCTTTACTGGTAAACTGGTACTGTTTAACTCGTTCTTACCGGTACCGGTTCCTTAACGGTTCATCAGTACCCGATACCGGTCCCTTAACGACTCACCAGTTCACAGTAACGATTTCTTTTCGAGGCTCCAGCTCACGGCTCCTTAACAGGTCTATTAGGGATGCAACAGTACCGGTAAACTGGAATTAACAGTTCACTAGTTCATAGTACCGGTTTCTTACCGGTTCACCAGCTCACAGTACCGGTTCCTTAACAGCTCTTTAACTCTCGTAAGTTTCTCTAAGTAGGTTACAATGTTTTGAGGAGATTGATTGATGTCTTTTTTCAACTTCAGTGCATTGAAAAGTAGGATAATCTGGCATTCTGCAAAAAAAAAGATTAATAATGATATGCTTTTTTATGTAAGAACCAGTTTCAACATCATAGAACTGTTAAGAAACCGGTACCGTGAACTGGTGAACCGTTGAGGAACGGGTACCGTGAACTGGTGAACCGTTAAGGAACGGGTACCGTGAACTGGTGAACTGTTAATTACAGTTTACCAATACTGTTGCATCCCTAGTATGAACTATAACGCCGACCGATATACCGGTCGGTTTACTGGTACCGATATGAATTATAACGGCGACCGGTATACCGGGATTAATATGATTTTGAATCAGTCGGCCGATATTTTGTGGTATGATACGATTTTACGACAAACGTTTAAATTCAGTTCATCTATGACATATTTCTTCCACTAAAATTTCATTCCAATTACTTAAGCTTTGTCGGCTTATATAAACTTCTTAATTTAAAAGAACAAATTGGATTGCTGTTTCTCTTATAAGAAGAAGCGTGTGAAAAATCAGCTATACATAATCAAAGTGGAAAGATTTATCTATCTCTTTGATGGCATAAGTAATTGAACAAAAAAACAGTTCAGTTTCTTTCGTTGAATATTAGTAGGCTTCTTCACATGTATGAAACACGATCATAACTGCATTTTAAAAAAAAAGGATACTGATAAGTTGTCGTCTACAGATATTCAAACAAAACTAAAATCTCAAGAATTTGTACTTGTAAAACATAAAAAAGGGCAAGCTGATATTTGGTTAAATGATATATCTTTTATTGAAATAGCAAGTAATAATGATGAATCTCCAATTATGATACAAGGTTATGCGGCTTGTAATCATTGTTTATTAGGATATAAAACACACGTAAAAAGGATGACAATAAATTAAAAAATATTGGTTTATCAAATATATCAAAACACTTAGAAACTTGTCCTAAAAGATCATCGTTTAGCTCATGTAATTCTCCAAAATTATCATTATCCAAATTTTTATACAATAAAACTTAACTAGCCTCGAAATGGAAAGACAGATTAAAAGATGGAGAATTAAAATTTGTCGTAGCTGGTGCCCATTCATTTCGATCACTTGAAAATGATGATATTTTAGCTGTTGCTCAAACATGCACTGATATTGGTGCAGAATATGGTAGAATGGACGCAAAAAGTATATGGTATGGTCGACAAACAATTAAAGATTTATCGATAGCTAAATTTCATGAAGTTACGATGCATACAAAAGAATTAATTAAAGGATCAATTAAAAATCATAATTAGCAGCAACAGCAGATTTATGGACCGACGATTATGTTAAACGTACATATCTTGATTTTATTGTATTTTGGTTATATGAATCATGGAAATTACGTCATTCATTGTTACGGTGTAAGCATTTTACTGAAGATATAAAAAGTGGTGCTAATATTTGCCAAGAAATAGAATCTATATATATGGAATTTCACTTATATGTAGGCGATACGCCGATAACAACTGATCAAAGTAGAAATAACAAATCGGTTTTTAATGGTGTATCATAACGCGGAGTGTTATATAATACAACGTAGCTTTACTTTATGTTTGATTAATCATTTTAGGATCCAACATGATATTAGCTCTTAAAGATGAAGCCAGATTTTCTTGTATGGCTCATCGAACTAATACTGTATTAGAATCTGCTTGGAATAATACAATTAATGAGCAGCCAATATTTGATGCATTTTGTACTGCTGTCAAAGAAATACGAAAATATGTAGCGCAATCAGGTGGTATTCAAGAACATTTGCCACGTACATTAAAGAAAAGTTCTCATACACGTCCATGGCGATCATATTTCATGGTACATGATTCCTTGCAAGAGCCATATGAAGCATGAAGATCATGTCTTGATAAGCGTAGTGAAACTTATCGTTTATTCAAAGTTGATCTAAAATTATTATCAGAGGTTGTTTCATTTATGGAAAGTTTTCTACCTATATTCGATAATTTAGAATATTCTAATAGACCTACTATTCAAAACGTTACATATCACCGGATCGAAAAATTTCAAAAGCTTGTTCGGTCGAAACCGATTGCAGATTCGTTTTCTCCATGCTTGATTATGTGGTACGCAATAACTTTTGGATCCGGGTACTTTAGAAAAAATTTTTCCCATGGTCTTGCTCAAAAATTTTTCAAAATGTTACCGTATGGGATCAAAGGCAAAACGATGTCGAAAATTTTTTCTGAAGAACCCCGATCCAGAAGTTATCGCGTACCACATAATCAACCATGAAAAAGACGAATCTGCAATCGGTTTTGACCGAACAAGCTTTTAAAATTTTTCGATCCGGTGATATGTTCCAGGTTACTATGCTATGCTGTCTTATTGTAAAAGTGATCGAACAACAAGCCCGACAATTCGTTATTTAAAAGAACAAATTCGTATAAATTTAGAGGATAAGTATTGGACATCTATTACACAAATTCATTGGATAGCTACATGGTTAGATCCTACACAACGTCGTGAAATCTTCGGAATGTGTTTTTCGGAATCATCGTGAAAAACTCCGTATTATAGACTATCTTTGAAGGTTCAGCAGGTGTAAAAGGTGCTCCCCTCCTCGTCATACATTAAAGGTCTCAAATTAGATATTCTCCGCTTGCAAGCCTATCAGCGTCACCAGATGGAGAGATAAACCCTTCAGTCTTACGCCATTAGAACCGCCATCAAACGTAGAACAAAGTTATAGAGTCACTTTTTTGTACTGCTAATATTTCTTGAAAAATATACTTTATCTTCGTAGTTTTTTTATTATTTATTTACTTACAATCAAGACGTTTCGATTGCCATGTGCAATCTTCTTCAATTTTTTTGCTGACATATTATTTTTTTTTCAAAACGAACGCCTTTCACCTATAATCGGTCAAGTGATTTTTTTCTTAGTTTCTTATTTTTCAACAGAATTCACTCTAATCATTTGTTTCACGTTCAAATTTTGACATGGAGCACTGCATGAACTGCAGTTAGGTGAAGCTGCAGCATCTGTTCGTGATATAATAAATAGAAAAAGAAAGCAAATCAAAATAATCAGTAACAAGTGAATGTTCAGAAGAGTTTCTTCGTTATGAGTGAAGAGTGTGAGAAAGAGTGAAAATTAATTAAAATACTGGTGCATCTGGCGTCAGTAGAACAGTGAGATTGAAAGAAAAAAATGACTGAAAATTACATTTGTTCTGTTCACAACTGACGTTATCATTTTCCCACGATTTTGTCGAGTCCTTCTCGTTGGCACTGGAGTTTAAAAGTATTTTTTAGAGTTGAAAGGTAGCGTACTCTTGTAAAAAGTTGAAATATTTATAATTTAGTTTGAAAGTTATAACTAAAGCTAAAACGTCTTAATTTAGTTCTACGTTAATGGAGATTAATTGAAAACAATTTCTAACTGTCACTCTTGGTGAAATGACGATCACAATCTAAGCCAGATACGTTTGGAGAATAGTGGTCAGATGAATCACTTTGAATTGATAGCAGAAGGTGAACGAACAGCCTCAGAGGTCAAATAACACTTAATTTACTTTCTTTTTGTCTTATCATACACCGAAAGGTATCGGGGTATACTTACTAATGGAGTACTGTTCCTATTTAACAAAGCTATAACGAGATGCATATATTAGCAAAAGTAAAGACAATAAAAACAGCATGCAAGAATAAAGTCTCGATTAGTTTTGCGAGAATAGTGTAAATCTCATGAACAGGCACAAAAATGAAATGGATTCTTCCTTTATGTAATAGTTGCTGAAAGTAGTTCAGGTGTGTTGTAATCTTCATCGTCACCAAAGTGACTGAAAAAGAAAACCAGTTCTAAGATTTAATCAACAATCTTTTTACTCACGAATTATAACTCGAGTGATAACACTTAACTGCAGTTAGACGTTAAGACTCGATCTAATATAACTAGATTTATACGTTAACAGGTAGGACTTACACAATAAATGCCTGAATTATATTTTTAGTTTTAGCAGCTTGAGTATTCATTTTGTGAAAAACTGTTAATGATGTTTTGGAAAACTTTACTGCTTTCGATCATTACGATTCATCGTCAATACGGAAAAATTTTAAAATCCGCAAGTTAACAAAGGAGAACACACAGTCGCAGAAGACTGTTAGAGTATATGACTGGCAGTTCTGCTATTCTTCTTCTATACAGAAGTAAATGATAATGAATTGGTTTCTCAAAATCTTCTACAGAGAAAAAGAAAAGGAAAAAGGAAAATAGGAATTCTGAATAATATTTTCTGAGAATAATATTAATTTCCCATAATATTAAAATGTCGAGATTGCAGTTTCGTCCAGCTTGTTATGCTCTTTCGAATAATGCAGGTAAGATATTTTTAGTAGCAAATTCCTGGTTTCCATTACTTCTGACCGTTCAGGCAATGACCGTTCAGTTGTCGGTTGCCCGTTCGGGCAAGGTCTGATCTCAGGAATCATCAAGCGTCTAATAGAGGAAAAGTGTTAATTCGACTACAAACAGCAACGAAAGCAGCTAAACATCTTAATGTAACGTTCAACTATTTTTAAGAGGTGCCAAACTTCTCGTCACAAAGGATAGATTATGATAAAATGATTAAAATTGAGAGTTTCATTATTCTGATGGAGTATTGTTTCAGGAGCACCATATCTGCTCGCTTATTTGGCATCCGGAGCTGGTGGTCTATCCACATCAGATGGTCCAGGGGAAAACAGTGAACCGTAATATCTCTTTTGTGTGTTCTCTTTGTTTTTTTTCCCCAGTGATTTTTTCATCAAAAAATGCAAGACAAAAAAATAAGTGCATACGGCGTCGAAAGTAAAAAATAAATGAATGGACAAAGCACATACCGACGAAGGAAAATAACGTCTTCAAAGACTGAAGGTCATCGGCCTGACAATAAAAAGATCCGTCAATCTCTTATATCATATATAAAAAGAGAGAAAAAATTCTTATTGTCTATATTTCACATGTAGAAAAAGAAACACCGCTATCAGCCAAAGTGAAGCAATGAAGCCAGCAGTGTCGTTTATAACATCAAATAAAGGCAAACCATTATCGATTTATGTTCTCATCATTCTTCCATTCGACGTTTTCCACTAAGACCTATTCACATTTATATCGAAACTATATATTTACATGAGGCATTTATCACTTTATTCGTTGAGATTGGTTTATTCTGCATTCAGTATATTTCTCTCTTACATGATACAATTTTGGTATTCATTTTGATATAATACACACATATACAGTTTTATGTCAAATTTTCGTAAATGGAATTTGAATCTCATTTATTACCATTAACTCAATCTAATAACGAAAGTGATTTCGAATCCGGTTCTATCGTCTCTGATGATGAACTTATATTAGTTACTGAAAGTGCCAGTAAATTAGTTAGTGGTGTGAAGGAAATAAACGATCTCAACAGTGCCAAACTTAGTTTGATAACTGATGTATATGCTACGTACTGTAAAGTGCAATAAAAAAAATGCCTTTAATAGAAGACCAGTGGTGTTTTATCCTGGGAAGGGGTTTACTATTTCGCTTATTGATGATATGTTATTAGTAGTAAATTCAATATTTTGAAGATGAAGAAGAATATCTTCTGATTTATCCTTAAAATCTTGACCGATACGAATAGAAATAAATAAATCCTTTTCAATCTTCTTATTCAAATAGTTTTCATCTTTTCGTGCATCAACATCAGGTGCGATTAATGTTACAGGGTGACCCAAAAAACTTGTGTACGAATATAATTGAACTTTTCAGCGGTCAGTTTAGTCGAGTAGAGCAAAGATTTCTGAACAAAATGAGATATCTGTGAGCTCTCACTTTATCTCGTGAAAGAGCGTTCAATTTACGGAAGGCACTAAGAGCATATCTTTCTTGTTTTTGTTAGTTGTCCTGATTTTGGTGGCATGAGACCTTCTGTAAATTGGATGCTGTTTTATGATAAAAGCTCTTACAGAACTCGGAGACGTAATCATGGTCAGTCCGTGCAACTTACACGGAAAAGACAGAGTTTCGATGCCAGTGGCTCATAGTGGTTCATTTTCCAAAAGTCAAGTGAGGAAGCTGTAAAGGAGATGGTTCTGTACAACATGAAGTAAAAACCGAAACAAAATCGCCTTTTTGCGATTTGTAGCTGTTTAATGAATGTTGGGGTGATTTAGCACGTTTTTGTACGTGATCTTTCTTAGTCAAATTAACCTAACTTATCATCTTTAATTATTATGTAATTAAACAATTGTTCAATTTTTCGTATTCGACGGACCCTTCACTATCTCTTGAATAAGATGAAATCTAAGAAATGAATTTTTAATCCACTTATTTAACATTTGCTTGAATGAGCTCAAAATGCCAGCACGAAGTTAAGATCGATGTTAAGACTGATTTTACTAAAGACTGAAGTAAGTTGAGAAGAAATTTTAATGACTTTTTCATAAAAAGTCATTAAGGACCATATTTGATCCATGTCGATTGAACTTGCTGCTTCATGTGTACCAACCAGCACATCTGTCCCTTATCGATCATCAGCTTTAATAATTACCCATATCTTTATGCTACTAGTTCTGCGTTTATTAATAATTACCTGCACCCTGATTCAAATACTTATACATCGTAGAATTCATCGTTGTCTAACTTAAAATTTATCAGTAGACCACCATGAGAATTGACTGAAAACAGTTCGGCAATAAAAAAAAAAGCTTTGTATCGTGATGATGGGTGCGAACTACAAAAAAAGAAATACTTTTTTTCTCATCATCAAGTGTGACACTGAGAATAAAATCAGAACTAGGTATGCACCGGTATCGGTATCCATACCGAAATACCGATACCGATAATACCGACTTTTATCGAT